AAAAAAAAAAAAAAAAAAAAAAAAATGAGAAAATATACTAATTTGGCCTAACTGAAAAAATCTCATTATTATGTCGATTGCAATTTGCAATATGTTTCTTTTAGAGTATTTTTTATTTATATTTTTATTTTTATATATATTAATCGGATTTTTAAAAAAGCGAAATGCGATCGAAATTGTTAAGTGGAACCGGTGCCATAAAGACTGTCTGATTGCATCTACCCAATTAATATTTGTATAGTATGTATACAACCCCATCTCTGCATCTCCGCGGGGATGCAGCTGCCTTGCAGATTGCGCAAGTACTTATTTTGTAGGCTAATTGTAATTGCACTATTATCGATTCGAACAGAGCATAACAAGCCATGGCAAGCATCATCATCATCTTCAAATGAAGTAGGCTGAGTACATTATTTGACAGTTTATATGTCGACAGTGGGACGTTTTAAAAAGCGGGTTCTACTTTCAGTTATCCCAGTAAAATCATAAACGATTCGGCAATTCCAAATAAAGCTATAGAAGATCTTTCGCTGCGAAATAAGTTTGCTCTAATAAATAAAAGTATATTAGACAAGCTAGCATTTCTACTACCTTGTACGTAATATTCATACATCATTTAGGGCGAATTCAACACAAACTTGTTTACTAGACGGTACTCAACACAACTATTTACTTAATTTGTAAGCACTCTAGCAATTAGCCTAGAGATAATATTCGCCCTTCGCCTTGGTCGAATTCGCTGTCTGCTCTAGTCAATGCGAATCCGCCCTCATTTCGCTCAAGTTTGTAAGCAATTCCGTTTCATTTCATACTGTCTCGATTTTAGCTTAAATCTTGAATCGAATTCTCTTTAATCGCTCCTTCAATTGCAGCGCAGCGAAGAGCAGGGATTGAAGCGTCCGTTGATGGCGCCGCGTCGCAAGCACAGCTCCGGCTCGATCAGCAGCTCGACGCCCATTATGAAGCAGCACAAGAGGCGGCGCTGCTGCCGCTGCTGTGAGCCCTTCTGCTACGCCTTGGCCGCGCTGACCGTGCTCTGCGCGCTGCTCAGCCTGGGGGCGCTGATGCTGACGCTGTTCCCGCAGCCGATGCAGCGCATCCATCACTGGTGGCGCGACGATGCCCAGGTGGCAATGCTCTCCATTAATGGTGACGGCAGCGGCGGCAGGATCAGCTATGGCAGCAGCCTGGGCCCAGAATTCGTGCCCTGCACTCAGATCAGCGTGCAGCGCTTGTGGACGCGCAGCTTGGCCCGGATGAACAGCGAGAGTCCGTTGCGGGCGGCCGATCTGAATGGCGACGGCATCAAGGATGTCATCTTCGGCTATGGCGTGGATGACAATATACATTACGAGGGCATTCCGCTGCCGCGCTGCAAGTCCGCCCAGCAGGGCGACGATGTGCCCTGCGAGGGCGGAGTCGTGGCGCTCAACGGGCGCGACGGGTCCACGCTGTGGCAAACGTGGAGCGTGGCGAACGTCTTCTCGCTGCACTGCAACGCGGACATAGATCGGGATGGCGGCGTCGACTGCCTAGCGGCGGGCAGATTGGGCGTGAGTAGCAGCTTCCATTAAGTCTGGACGACACCTCCCTTTAACCATTTATGTTCCCTTGCAGATGATCTTTGCCATCAATGGACGCACTGGCCAGGTCATCTGGAACTTCCACGAACTGGAGGTGGAGACCAACTCGCCCATTGTAATGGACCTCTACACGATCAACGTGCTGCGCGACCTGGACGGCGACGAAGTGCCGGAGCTGATAGCTGCGCATCTCGAGGAGCGCGAGGAGTCCAAGGCGGGCCACATCAAGCTCATCTCGGGCAAGACGGGCAAGGTGCTGCGCAGCATACCCACGCCGCACCGCGAGGAGATGTTCGTGCCCATCCAGCTGCTGACCCGCGCCGACGGCACCGAGCTGCTGCTCATGCTGACCGGCGGGCAGAACACGGCGGGTGGCATCTATAGCCTCCGGCTGCTCACACTGATGGCGCACACGAGCGAGAAGCACTTCACTCCGCTGTATCAGCAGTCCAAGTCAGGCTTGATGGTGCCCGCCGTGCTGACCGATCTCAATGGCGATGGCATCACCGACGTGGTCGTCGCCGCCTTCAACAGCAGCGTCTTCGCTTTCGACGGCAGAAACTATACCCAACTCTGGAACTATACGTTCCCGGCCAGCGAGTGCGTCAGCGCCATTGTGCCGGGCCACTTTGATCGGGACAATGTCACCGACTTCATGGTCAAATACAATACGGGCCCGGGCTTTCCCGTCTACTACTACTCGCAGACGACGATTCTGGACGGACGCACTGGGCAGCCGCTGCTCGATGCCATGATGACGGACGCGGGCGGCGCCAGTAGCCTGCTGGGCGGCGTGTCCATTTCGCAGAGCTTTGGCGGCGACTTCTTCCTGCACTGGCAGCTGCAGTGCCGCAACAGACCCAATGCCCGGGATGCCTACGAGTTTGTGCCGGACAGCGACATCATCTTGCAGGCACGGGCGGACACCTGCCGGCTGCGCTACAACGAATCGACGGTGCTCAAGCTCTATGCGATCGCGCGGCACATTGAGCCGCCGGGTGCGGTGCTGTTCAGCACAGATGATCTGGAGGTGCAGCTGAATCGCACACAGAGGCCGTCGCCGACGGGCAAACAGTCGCCGCTGAAGCATCCCAAGCTGCTCAAGAAGCTGCTGGCCAATAGGGAACAGTTGCTCAGGCAGGCGGCCGCAGCTGATGCAGCGGAGGAGCTGCAGTCGCAGGCACAGTCTGGTGCGGGGGCGGTCAAGTACACTAAGCACCGCAAGCATCCGCTGCCGGAGCTTCTGCCGGACAACGAGCTGCCCGGCTTTGGCGGCGGTTACATCAAGGAGCCCTATAAGGAATTTGTGAGTAATTTCAATAGATTTGCGCCAGAAATTATTTACAGCAGCTTCTCTTGCAGAAGGATTACGAGCCATTGCCGCTTCCTGCAGAGAATCCCAATGCCATGCGCGTTCCAGAGGAGTACGAGCTAGTCTACAACGATGAGGTGCCCCAGATGCCAGAGCAAAACGAGCGGCCCATCCACTTGCGCAGCAAATATCCAAGTGGCAACAATCGGGATGTGCGCAGTGGCAAGCTGGAAGGGACCAGCACCACTATCACCACTACTCCGCCGATGGCGGCGCAGTCACCGCTTAGCCTGTGGGATCTGGAGCTGGACAATGAGGCCCAAGAGCAGGCAGCAGATGCAGCAGCTGCTGCGGCAGCTGTAACCGCCTCCAGCACACAGTCGCAGTATCGCCGGCGCAAGCGACAGCGACGCGATGATTCAGCTGCGGCCAGCAGCAGCAGCAGCAGCAGTGCTTCCTCTACAGCTGGCGAGGATGGGACAGCGACGACTGAGACCGCACAGACAGAGGACTGGTATTTGGCTTCCATCTCGTCAACGGGCATGCTGCTCAAGGCGCTGTCCAATGTGAGCTCCGCGCTCGACTTTGCCTTCGTGCTCAACATACGCGAGTCGGAGGCGTATCCACCGTTGTTCTCGCCGCAGGATCTCAGCTGCGTCGAGGAGAAAATAAGCGCCTATAAAAGTGGGTTGATTTACTAATACTTTTGAAAATAATTCACATACTTATTTATTATCTCTGCAGGCTATACCGCCGATAACTTGCGCGTGCTGCGTAAGCAATTCCTTAAACAGTGCCTGAGCGAGCGGCTCGTGGACACGGAGCCCGACTTGCCGAAGTACGAGGCACAGTTGATAATTACAAGAATTGGCATAACTTGCACCTGTCACACACTGCAGCCGGGTGAGGTGTGCTCCGAGCTGAATCCGATTGATGCACAGCGCTGGACTGAGTTCATGGGCAACGATGGCAATGGCTATTATGCCAACTAAAAATCGAAGTCTATCCTACTAAAATCTCTTCTCCCTCTAACTGTCTCTCTCTCTCTCTTTAATCTACAATAATTGTAATTAATCGATTGTCGTTTGTGTCTGTGTGGCTGTTTCGTGTTATTGTAACAGTATTTGTGTGTCATTGTGTATATTTTCGGATTTTTTAAAATACAATTAAATATTTAAACTTATGAAATGCCCGCCAATGCTCTACAGCTCAAAATGGTGTTGAGAGAGGGTGACAACTCTAAAGCAAACTAATCAATGTGAAGATAGTTGCAACAGGATATCGGTATATATGCTGCAGTCGAGCAAACAGAAGTTTTATATATACAAATCTGCCTAATAAAAATCATTAATTTATGATTACTTATACTTCATAAATAAAATGTAAATAGTCAATTTTCATACAAAGTATCGATAGCGCCGATTATCGATACGTCTGTCCGTGGCTGGCTCAGCACTAAAAAGTCAAACTTTAGACAACAACAAGAGCGTTGCAGCTGCCTAAATATTATTGTTAACTTAATGCTGCGCCCCAGACATATACAAACACCAGCATGGGCATTCTAGAAAAGATTGCAGAGATCGAGCGCGAAATCGCGCGCACCCAAAAGAACAAAGGTATGTATGTGCAAATATGAGAAACCGGCGCAGACAACGCGGAGTCGGAATTCGCATTGCTGGCAGTGGCGTTGCCAGCTATCGGAATTTAGGGTTAAAATTCATTTGGCATTTCTTGAATCTTGCAGCAACCGAATACCATTTGGGCCTGCTCAAGGCTAAGTTAGCCAAGTATCGCTCGCAGCTCCTAGAGCCGGCCAAAAAGGGCGAAAAGGGTGAAGGATTTGACGTGCTGAAGAGCGGTGATGCGCGTGTCGCGCTTATTGGATTCCCCAGTGTGGGCAAATCCACCATGTTGTCCACACTGACCAAAACCGAATCGGAGGCGGGTGAGTGGGGCGTGGTCAGGCAGAAGGCAGACCCTTTATATATAATGATTGCTTCTTACTGCCCACAGCCAACTATGAGTTCACCACGCTGACGTGCATTCCCGGCGTAATTGAGTACCAGGGTGCCAATATACAGTTGCTCGATCTGCCGGGTATCATTGAAGGCGCTGCCCAGGGCAAAGGTCGTGGTCGTCAGGTGATTGCCGTGGCACGCACAGCAGACTTGGTGCTCATGATGTTGGATGCCACCAAGCCGAATGTGCATCGCGAACTGCTAGAGCGGGAGCTGGAGTCCGTGGGCATACGCCTGAACAAGCGAAAACCTAACATATACTTCAAACAAAAAAAGGGCGGCGGTCTGAGTTTTAATTCTACCTGCGCCCTGACGCGCTGCAGCGAAAAAATGGTGCAAATGATTCTGCACTCGTTCAAGATCTTTAATGCAGAGGTTCTCTTCCGTGAGGATTGCACAGAGGATGAGTTCATTGATGTGGTCACGGCCAATCGCGTATATCTGCCTTGCCTGTATGTGTATAATAAGATTGATCAGATCTCCATAGAGGAGGTGGATCGGCTGGCTCGACAGCCCAACTCCATTGTGGTCAGCTGTAACATGAAGCTCAATCTGGACTACATGCTGGAGGCGCTCTGGGAGGCACTGCAGCTGATCCGGGTATACACCAAAAAGCCCGGTGCCCCGCCAGACTTTGACGATGGCTTGATTCTGCGAAAGGCAAGTAACTTGACAACATAATGTAATGGATTCCCTCCTAATCTTGCACGCTCTCTCACAGGGCGTCACTGTGGAGCACGTGTGCCATGCCATCCACCGGACGCTGGCCGCACAATTCAAGTATGCACTAGTCTGGGGCACTTCCACCAAATACTCGCCACAGCGCGTGGGCATAGCCCATGTCATGGCTGACGAAGATGTCATACAGGTGGTCAAGAAGTAAATCGCATTTGTTGAGCGCTTAGCCTTGGCATTACAGGAGCTGAAATATATATTATATTCTACCTAAAACAACCCAATTGTGCAGATTGTCCATCTGTTGTAGCATTGTCTTTCTTCAAAAATATAAAACTGTTTGTGCCGACTTATTGAGAGAAAGTCAGCTCACTTCATAGAAGAGGCCGATGGTTTCTCGGGATATAACCTGTCCAGGAATAAAGCCGAATACTTTAAATTGCATGATCGTCCTATAATAATTGTATTGACTGATCGAACGAAACAACTAAAATCAAAAATTGAAAATCATAATATATTCAGCATTTGGATGCGGATGCATTGTTGGCCGTTGCCGCTGCGTTAGCTGCGTAGCTCTTGTTCAGCGTGCTCATCGCCGAGATGTTGGTGAAGGGCGTCGGGCCGCTGCTGATTCGCTGTGGCTCTACTTCGGTGTGCACGGATGGCTTCTCCAAGGCGGCAAATACATTGGTGGTATCTCGCAGGCGATAGCGCCGTAGATTCAAGTACTGCTCCTTTTGCTCCTCGACTCGTTGGTGGATCTCATGCAGGCGACCAGCCAGCGAGATGAAGGCTTCATTCAGCTGGCGGAAGCCTCGCTTCAAATCCGCGGGCGATATGCTTTGTGGATTGGCTAGCGCTTGCATGTGATTTTCCGTTTGCAGGATCTGCTGCCGAAAGGCAATCAGATCCTCCTCGTACTTGGCCACCAGGCATTGGAAGTATTGAAAAGGTGCTCCGTTCTCGAACTGCAGAGCGGCAGGCGTGTCCTGTGTCCGCTGCGCCATCTCCAGGGATTGAATGGCCTTGGCCGTTTCGCTGCGCAGCTGCTTGATGTGCCGATTGTTAGCATCCACCGAATTGGCCACGTTTTGCAGGACCCAGCGCAGATTCGTTATCTCGTGACTCACGTTGGTGAGCTTAGAGGTCGACGTGCGTCCAATTTCCGACGATATTGTCTTTTGCTGCTTGATGTAACTCTTAAGGGCATCCACTGTCTTCACTATCTCGTCCGGCACTTGGGTCTCCTTGATCTGCAATTAAAGGACAGTCAATGATGACGCTTTCTGATGCTAGTGCCGGCACTTACCTTGATCCCGTCTTGCTTGTTGTCGCCCATCTTGGGTTGAGTGGCGCTCACATCGATGCCGCCAAGGCCCACAAACGTGGGAGCCGCAGCTGCGGCCGGCTGTTGGCCTGTCGTTAACGGCTTACCGAAGATTCCTCCCGTCGCCGCGGGCGCAAACGGACCACCCAGCCGCATACTCGAATTGAACGGCTGCGCTGTGGACGTCGTTGTGGTCGTGTTGAAGTTGAGACTGGCTGCGGTTGTTGCTAGCGGCTTGTTAAATGAAAACGTGCCAGTACCTGATCCGAGAGTTCCCGCTCCTGTAGTCCCGAAAGCAGGCGGCGCAGTGGTAGGCGCGGTCGTCAAGGGGTTGGAGAAATTGAAGGTGGGCGCCACCGTAGCGGTTGACGTGCCGAATGCAGGTGCAGCGGCAGGAGCGCCGAAAGTTGATGTTCCACCCCCAAGGCTGCCAAAAGCAGGCGCTGCTCCTGCAGTGCTGCCGAAAGCCGGCGCGGTAGACGCGGGTGCACCAAAAGTGGAGCCAGTGGCCGCAGCTCCAAATGCGGGAGCCGCACCGAGACCGCTAAACGCCGGCGTACTTGTTGATGCTCCAAAGGCGGGCGCTGCTGCAGTTGCACCAAAGGCAGGCGCTGCTGCAGTTACACCAAATGCAGGCGCTGCCGTCGTCGAGCCAAATGCCGGCGTCGCAGTTGCTGCGCCAAATGCTGGTGTAGTCGTAGCGCTGCCGAAGGTTGGCAGGGTAAGGCCGCCGCTCATTGGAGCAACTGCAGCTGAAGCTGGCGAGCCGAAACCGAGCGTTGGCGCCGTGCTTGCTGCTGTCGGTGCGAAATTGAAGCTGGGCGCTGCTGCGCCGACCACGGCGCCTGCTGCTCCGGCCAGGCTTGACGTAGCAGTAGCAGCGCCGAAGGCTGGCGGCGGGGCGCTTGTGGCTGGTCGCGCGCCAAAACTGAAAGCGCCTGCTGCTGGTGCTGCAGTGCTGCCGCCCAAGCCGGTGTTCGTGGTGGGTGTGCCAAACGAAAAGGACATCGTTGAACGCGTTATTAATTTAAAACAGTTGGAATCTCAGTTTAATTATTGATTCAAAACGAAATTTCACAATAAACCAAAGCCCACACTAAATAATTTATCGATAGGTAATACGTATGTCCCAAAATTTCAACTAGTTCATAATCACAATCAGCTCGTTACTCAAAAAAGTTATCGATAAGCCTTAGATACTTGGCCTAAAATACATAGATAGTTAATTATTCCAAAATAATATTCGTTAGCTTAGGGCAATTCATGCATTGGTAACATATCAATAAAAATATATGTATAAATTAATAATTAAGCCAAACACTTGTTTTTTTTTTTCGGCCAGGCATGAGCCTCAAAGCAAACAGCTGTTCACTATACGAGCGACTAGCGAGTGCTGCCACCTTTTTACTTTAGTACCAAAAAAAATACGCTAGGGGCGCTATGTCGCTTTTAGTCTTTTACAGTTATTTTCACATAACAAGTGATCTTTAGTTCGCACTCGTGCTTTAATTGCAATTTATTGTAAAGCAATGGCCGCATTGGAAGAGAAATATACGAAATATCTAAATGAGATCGGAATATTGCCGCGTCTGCTCGAAATAATGGAGAAATTGGTGGATTTGGATCCACTGCCCGCGGACCCGCTTATGGAAATTCTGGACGCCCTCGGTTGCCAGCTCATACCGCAGGCTCAAATGAAGTCGCTGGAAAAGAAGGTATCGCGCGCACAGGATGAGCTGCGCTATCTGCGTCGTGTGCTGATCGAGCTCGGCGGACAAGACGTGCTGTACGATAGCGACACGGATGAGGACGAATACGTGGGCCAAGTTACCGAGATGGGAGTTACGCCGCTGTACACTCCCACCACCAGCGAGGACGACAGCTCGACGTCCCAGTATATTTTGGAAGCTTCGATTTCAGTCAGCGAGCAGCAGCAGCGGCAGCAACACGAGCAGGAGCAACAGCCCTGCTGCAGCCATGATCTGCGGATCAATGCGCACCATTTCTAGAAGAATCCATTTATGTATCGAGTACATATAGATCCATTATGTATACACATATACATACATACTTTTAACTCTTAACTGCGCTGGCAGTTGCTCAACATTTACATTTCTTCACTATTTAGAGAAATTTATTTAACTATTGCATTAGTTAAGACAGCGCCAGATCGTTGCACATTATATAAAACTACATATATTAATATCTTGGTATATCGGTATTAATAGCCAAAAGACCATGCAAGAACATGGCGTATTATCAAAAATTTAATATATGTATTTATAGTGTCAAATACATATGTACATTCGCATTAACTCATGTTCAAGCCTAGAGCTTGAAATCGTGTCAGAATAATAATAATATATAAACATAATACTTGAAATATATATAAAATATGAATATTGAATTAATAAATCGAAAATTATAAACTTAATAAATGTTATTTTTAGTCTGAAATGAAACGTAATATATACTGAAGTGATTATTATTTAACACAATATTTTGTAAAAGTGTGTATATACCTAAAACACTTACTTCTATTAATATTTAGTCTAGAAAGCTTTTGAAGTATTTTGTAGCCATATTTCTATTTGGATAACGTTAAATGATCTCAAATAATGACAAATCAAATTCCACTCCGAGTGAGGCAGAGGATGGTAAACTGTATGATGTTACCTCTGGGAAATCAATAGGTCAATAAGCCGCACCGTGTGCACCGCTTCAGCTGTTGCATCCGCAAATAGCGCAAAACAAAACAACAATTCAATTAACTCGAAACATGCCGTCCATGTTGACAACGGCAAACTTCATTTACTAAAACCCTTATCCAATGGCAAATAAGATTCGGAATGTGACCGGAATGTGGGCCGCATAACGTAAATGCCGGATTGCCAAACTGTGAAACAAGTTCAGCTAAGCTCGAATAGTTCCGTCTGGCAGTTAATCGAAAATAGTAAGCGGAATCAATGCAGGGGAAATCAGGCACCTAGAAGAATTTTGAACGGTTGACTCAATGTATTTGAATTGATAGACTATTATGTAATATTGGTTTACGATCCCTGAAATGTAAATCATTGAATAATCATTTAAGCGATAATCTTACTTTATCCAATATGATGCAAATTTGTTGAGAACTTTGTATTCTACCTTCATTATAAATAACTCAAATACTGATTGATTTCAAAGTAAATATAAAAGAAATTAAGTATTCAACGAAAATAGATTAAAGTCTAGTATATTTATTTAAACAGATGCGCTTGACACCTTTCAACTGTTGCAGTTTTTCATCAAATATTTTGTTAGGCAAAAAGTTTTCCAAAATATTTGCAATGCTTTACACTTAATAACTAAAAGCTAAAAAAAAAAAATTAAAGGAAAACATATTATGTATAATATCAAATATAAAAAATGGTTTTTACTATTTATTTACGAATTCGGCGATAAATCCATCTAAGCCACAGTGAGCAGCTTTGCTGGGGGCGTGGGGCGTGGCAGCTGACAGCTGCTCGTCGTTGTGATAAATAAAATGCAGCTCGAGTTGATATACATAAATATTAGCAATAGCAGAGCGCACGACTAGCAATTGCTCGACTAGCAGCTACCCTGTATTATGATGGGAGCAGCAGCTTTAATATTTAGATGATGGGGATGTGCTAATACTATAATATTCAATATATATACATATATATACTTAAAGGGTTACGCCATGCTCTGTTCTGCATAGAACGAATATGCCCCGAATTGTCGTTTTTAATGGGTAAACAGCTAAAACATATTTACTCTCTCTCCGTGTATTTATTTTATTTATTTGTTTGTGTGTGAAGCGGATAAAGAACATGCGCTGCGGGGGGGCGTGGCATTTGCTGTCAACTGTAGCGGCTGCTTTTAATTGCGTTCTCTTCCTTTTTTATTTTTCACAATTTATTTAGATTTTTTCTCCCCATTTTGACTTTGAATAATTGCTGCGGAAATTGCCTTTTAGCAGCAATTTTGTGGCTAAGCAGAAAGATAAAAAAAACAACAACAAAACAACAAAAAAGAGGCGCCGCGCGATAATTGATTGAAACAAAATGCAGTCGCATTGGTTTACAAATTTCGCTCTTTTTTTTATCTTTTGCTCTACTTTTTTGTTCGTGTTGCCAACTAAGCCCCGCACAAGCTGCATACTTTTGGGCGCTTAATCTGTGCGTCCTGCTTTGCTTGCCTGCCTGTCTGTCTCCCTCTCTCTCCCTCTCTCTCTCTCTTTCTGTCCGTCTGTCTGCCTGTCCGTTTGCCTCTGTGTCAGTGTGTCTGTCTGACTGGCGTAAAACTTTAACCACGTAAAATACGAGCCCGCTGGGCAACAGCCGCAATACACACAGCCACACAGCACACAAAAAGGGACAAGAGAAAAGAAATCCGTTCCGAAATGAACGAGCTGCAAACGTAGAGCATTCGAAATGCATATGAAAAACAACGGCTGCAATCCCCAAAAAAAAAAACAAGAGAGAAACCGTGGCCAGTGTTGCCAGACTAGCTCGAATTTCGAATGAGCTATGCGAACCCGATTGCGGTACTTAATGATTTGGGCCACATATTTGCTTTGGCTTCTGCTACAAATAGGTGTGGGCTAGTTATAAACGGCCTATTTCCAACTGTTAAGTGCGCAGTAGGACTTCAATTGCAAGCCCAAAATGTTCAACATTATTGCAAAACAAAAAGTCTTGTTTTTTAATGAGGATTTCCCTATGCCAAGCCATGATACGATCAATAATATTAAAAATAATTGTTTAAGCTGATATTATATACAACCTATATAGACTATATTCATATATATTATATATTTATTGTTTATCCTTGTTATTTAAAAAGTTTCTTAGACAAGTTTTAAATTTCGTTGACTTCTCTTTCCGAATTTTGTAATCATCTAATATGTTCATTCTATAGCACTGTATAGCTATTGAATCTATATGCGGAATGCAGTTCGATATTTTGTGCAGCGCTCGACTCTACTGTCACGCCTCTCTTCTGCTCCCCCCTCTCCATTCGACTATCAACCGGAAACGCCAAAGCAACTGCAACACAGAAAGCAACCAAAACATATAAAAAACGAAAATGGGCAAAGGGAAACTGAATGAAATCGGAGCAGGGCGGAGCAGAGCGGAGCGGATCTCTGTGTGGGACGCCGCTTCAATTTCATGTCGAGTAAATTTTAATTTACAGCTCTTTTGTGACCGCAGGTTTTGCCAGCATGCGAGCCGAAAACTTTTTCACTTTTTTATTTTTATTTTTATTTTGATTTTATTTCTCCCTTTTTTTTTAGTCGGTTAATTTGTTTTTCTTTCTGTTTTCCTGTGCGGATATATATGACTTTTGGGCCATTCGGTCAGTTTGGCATGTTGGCCAAAAAAAGAAGTATATATCTACTATATACATATATATATTGCTGCCATTTGCTGCAGGGCCACATTTGCCATTAGTGCGAATAGCCGCAGGGGGTGTGGCTCGGCGTGGGCGGGGGGCTGCACAAAAGGCGCCGCCGGACTAATTGCAGCTGGAAAAAGTCTAAACTATGCTTCATTAGCGCCCGCTGAAAACTCTATTAGCCAAATGAGGCAGAGGCGGAAAATGGGAAAAAGAGTCGAAAAAGTTGTACGCGTCGGAAAAACGTGCGGCGCCTAAATAATGTACAAAACTTTATTGGCAAATGCTAAACAAAAACAATTAAAATGCAATTAAAAAGCATAAATTACGAACTGCGTTCGGAGTTTTGTTAGCTGCAGGGGCGTGGCCAGTGAAATACCATATTTGCAGTATATATTCTACATCTAACATAAAATCATTTATTGTTGGTGTTTTTTGTCAGCTTGAGCAAATTGCAGCTCAATTCGAACCGAAATACATCAATGTCTCGCACACATGCAAAAAGAAAGAAGAAGAAGACAAAAACTTGGCACATTTTATCATCTATTGTCATTTTTCATGCTACCAGCAGCAAGAACAACAAGAGCACTATGAAGCCGGTAAGGGGGAAAAGGAAGACGGGAAGGGTTAACAATTTTTATGTGTCAACAAGAATAATTTGTGTCACGCAACGCAAAAACTTGGCTAAGAGATGACAAAATAGAAACAAGAAAATAGCAAAAGTGTCGTAAACAAAAGCAGGCAGCATATTAATAATGAAAACAGGACAACCAGCATGAATACACACACACACACATAGACACACACACACACAAACAAACATTTGAGACAACAAAAATGTGGAAGGAAATCAACAAGCAGCTAGAAATTAATACCCGCCCACACACACACACACACACACACACACACACACACACACACACACACACAC